CCCTTGGTTTGCTTGGGGAGCATGAGCAAGCTGGCTGCTGGACGGAAGGAGAGGCGGTTTAAACCACCTTCCCTTCCCTTGGCTTGCTCAGGATCCCCGCAGCTGCAGAGAGCCCGAGCAAGCTGGCTGCTGGAGGGATGTGCATTTGGTTCATCTGAACCGAATGCACCCCCGAAAATGGCCCATTCGGGCCCCTTTCAGGCTGCTGCGGGCTGAATCAGATTCTCTGATCTGTATCGGCTTCCTGCAGTTCTGCCCCATTATATCCTATGGGCCATTGAAGTCAATGGCGAAAACATAGGGTATATTCTGAGGGGTGGAGGGGAGGAGGTTTAAGGGAGAGGCTCCAAAACCGCAGGGTAGCTGCTGGAGCCGCTCCCCAAGATACCCTCCATGGTTCAGGAACATTGAACCAGGGGGTCCAATTCTACGGGCCCCCAAACAGGTTGCCCCCATCCCCTCCATTGTTCTCTATGGTGGGGATAGTGGCAACCATAGAGAACAATGGAGGGGATAGGGGCAACATGTTTGGGGGCCCGTAGAATTGGACCCCCTGGTCCAATGTTCTTCAGACTTGGTTGGTATCTTGGGGAGAGGCTCCAGCAGCTACACTGCGAGTTTGGAGCCTCTCCCTCAAACCCCCTCCCCTCCAGCTCGCAGAATATACACTATGTTTTTGCCATTGACTTCAATGGCCAATAGGATATAATGGGGCCGAAATTGACATTCGATTGTCCCTTTTTCAGGCCCGGTGTTCTAGCGGGGACACACGCGAGAGGTGGAATTTGCCCCTACAAGTCCAAGGCCACCACCCCGGGGCTCAGGGAGGCAAGGGAACGTTTCGCCCCTCCCCTCCCCCCACACGCGGGCATCGCAGCTGCTGCCGAGAACAGCGACGATGGCCATAACTTTTTAAAGAGCCTCTCCTGAGAGCTGGGGGAGCCAGAATGACCTCTCGCGTGTGATGTCCGAGCGGCAACGCCACTTGGACATCACACGCGAGAGGTGGAATTTGCCCCTATGAGTCCAAGGCCACCACCCCGGGGCTCAGGGAGGTGGGGGAACGTTTCGCGCCCCCCCCCCGGTGTCCCAACTGATGGCTGGTGGGAGCAGGGGCGGGGCTTATGTGCTCGCCCCCTGGGCTCCTGACTGGCGGAGCGGTGCTCCAGTGTGCTCCAGCAGGAACCGATGCCTGCCGGGACAAGTGTGGGGTGTGCAACCTCAATGTGATGTGGAAACAAAAAACACCCCAAGATAATTACAGGGGTGAACTCGCGTGTAGTGTAGAATGTACGTTCAGGGACAGGGTTGAGCCAGGATTTAAGGTGTAGTGTGGAAAGGACCAAAGCGTGAGCTTAGGGCAAAACAGTGTAGCTCTAGGCATTGTACTGGCAAATGTTTGCACCCTTCTAACAGTATGGTTGAAAACCATTTTAACACAACTACTGGTATCACCAAGTTCAGTTTACTGCGATGCATGAATCTGGAAATCCTCACTAATTGATGTTAATTGAATATGTCTGTATTCAGTATCAGTATGCTGTGTTAGGTCAGGAGGAACAGGAGCACAGGGAGGGAAATTTCTGGAGATTTGAGGGTGGTGCCTGGGGAGGGCAGTGTGTGTGTGTGTGTGTGTGGGGGTGCTCAGCAGGCATAGAGTCTCTGCCCTCTGGAGCTTCCATAATCTCAAGAGGAACTGATCCCTGTTGCCATTTGGGGTCATCTCCAGGGCCCACCTGGAGGTTGGCCACCCCATGCAGGCCTGGCAGTTACCCAAGTATGTGTTCCTTGTGAAGAAACTCTGGTTTGTGTGTGACAACGGAATGCAACATCAGATACTCCAGGTTTCTCTTTGAGGTTGAGGTCTTGTGGGCTCCGGAGACTGTTCTTGCATCGTAAAGCACTCTTCAGGTACATAAGAGTGTGCAGTGTCAGGCTCTGTAACTGAAAGGAATTTTAAAGGCTCTGGCTTGGTCAGGCCAAGTAAAATACTGGGAAGTTGTTTTTCTATTCTTGCCTAGTGAATCGAACAGCACCTTCTTCTGCCTCCTGACCTTCAGGATTCAGCTCCTGATTTCAGAGACTGTGAGTTCTGTGGATGTGGCCTCCAGGTCTAGTTTCCTCTTTGTGTTTCTCCATGAGGTAGATGGCACCTTCAAGGGGCTATTGAGATGGGAAAATAGCACACGGGAGAAAACCCATTCCCTACAACACTGTGGACCTAAGCTGATTCTCACTCTCTCTCTCTCTCTCTCTCTCTCTCTCTCTCTCTCTCACACACACACACACACACACACAGAGGGACCATTACATTTAACTTTTTAAGAATATTAGCTGTCTTCAGTTTGGTCCTGTCTAATTCATTACAGATTGGAACTGAAATTTTGCTTGTCACAACAACCCTTTTCATTGTGGCTGAAGCTGTGGCATGCAATACCTTAAGCAGCTTTAAATCTGTGATGCTTAACTTGGAGTGTGCATTCTTTTCCATGCGTAATTCAGAAAGTGGTGTTTGCCTTTGTTATGTTTGAAATTCATGCACATCTCTGTTATCTAGAATGCACATTGATTTGAAAACTATTTTTACCATATTCATAAATGATGCATCATTTAAACATCCCCCCGATTCTTTTTTCAACATTTAGGATTTTTGTGCACACATGGGGACTGCCCCACGTGTGCACAAACCTCTCCCTGCCCCCCAAGTGCCCCCGAAGTGCGGATTTAGATATCCGCACAGAGGGGGCCACTTCACTATTAGATATATAGATATGGAGCAGAGGTCCATCAGTGGCTATGAGCCACAGGGTATAGATAGGAACTCTCAGTCTGGGGCAAGTGATGCACTGTATTCTTGGTGCTTGGGGGGGGCAACAGTGGGAGGGCTCGTAGTGTCCCGGCCCTGCTGCTGGACCTCCTGATGGCACCTGGTATTTTGGCCACTGTGTGACACGGACTAGATGGGCCATTGGCCTGATCCAACATTGGCTTCTCTTATGTTCTTATGTTCTCTTATCCCAAATATGTGTGACATTGGAGCTCTAGGGATGGATGTCAACATCACATTACAGCCCCCAAATAACCAGCCACTGGGGCCCCCCAGTATGGACTGAGGACGCGATACTGAAAGGGAGGGTTAACTCATCCTCATGTACCATTTCCACAAACTGAAACTAAATGTAGACAAGACAGAAGTAATGCTGGTATGGGAGAAAGATGGGCAAGAGAGATTTTAGGTTAAATAAATAAATAAATAAATAAATAAATAAATAAATGCCCTTCCCCAGACTGTGCTAAGCCCTAGCCGAGGGGGGAAAGACAGGTATCCATAAGGACTTAAAGCAACCGGGGGGAGGGGGCATTTTTATTGGGGAAATGAAGGGAAAAGAGAAAGAGTTAACACCTCCGCCTTCCCAGACACTATAGCCTCAGTCTGATTTGGGTGCTCTGTGATCAATTTTTAGGGCTAGAGCCCCAGTCACGGGACTTATTTCCTTACGTGCTTCATTTATTCCCCACCTTTCTCCCCAATGAGGAGCTGAAGTGGCTTACATCCTCTCCTCTGTTCTATCCTCAACATAACCTTGTGAAGTAGGGTAGGCTGAAAGTGATTGGTCCAAGGGGACCCAGCAAGCTTCCACAGCAGAGTGAGGATTTGAACCTGGGTCTCCCAGATCCTAGTCCATTTCTAATCACTACACCGCAGTGCATTCTGGTTTTGAAATACAGTTTTATGAAAAACATAAGGAGTCCAACAGCCTGCCCAGGCTGCTGTTATGAGCAAATTAGTAGTGCCCCAGCGGTTTGATGCAGTAGACCATTGTGCAGAACGTCTTGCTCTGTGTTATTTTTTTAGCCTGGGAACTGCACTAACAGAAAGAAGGAACAGTTTCCTGCGGCATGTATTAGTTTAGCAGTTTTAATTTCCTTGGGGATAAAAGGTGCTTGGGTTGGCAGAGGTCCTGGACTTTAATCAAGAGCGCAGCACAAGGAGAAGTTAGTGTTCTGTTGATAAGAACGCAAAGGGAAGAAAGTATGTTTTTAAATTGTCTGTGCATTACATAGTACAGTGAACTGGAATTATCCAGACTATTTTATTTTTATCTGAAGGTGATTCTTCTAACCTGAGTATTAATATTTTACAACAGTTTTATTTGGATTGTTTCAATCAATGAATGAAAAGCAAAACCAAACCAAAATAAAAGAGCAAAAGTAGAGAGGCAAAGAAGCATATCACTAAGATACTGGAAACCAAGGTTCCTTATTTAACACTGGATGCTTTCCCTGTGTTGAAACTCTGCTTGGAAAAGGATATGAAGATCCACTATTACTGCTAAACATTTAATACCACCAGTGTAACAGGCACTGCTCAGCACATGGAACTGACATGTTTCATGTCTAGATCACTCCTATCCTACATTATGCAACTATATTTTCAGTGTAAAATTTGCCCAACCATTTGTGCTTTTTGATAATTTAAAATAAATAAATAATAAAAAACAGATGGAAGATTCAGAGCCCTGCACATTAGAAGCTGTATCTTCTAGATAAATAACCCATCTGCATGCTTCTTTAAGGTGATATAAAACGCCTATAGAACACAGGCATCTTTTACCAACAGCACTTCACCATCCCCTGCAGCCCATATATTGTGACCACTGCATTTTATTTCAGACACATCACCTCCTTTAGCCACCGGAAGAAAAGGCATGAGACCCTTCCCCCAGCCCTGCCAGACAGAGCTGCTCTCATTGCTTCCATCATCTTCTCCTCTTGGAGCTCATCCTCGGTACCATGTGGATAGGAGAAGGGAAGGGCACTGTTAAAACAGATGCATGCTACCGAACAAGAACCCCTCCTCAGACCAAGAGTCATATAGCATTGTTCAGCAACCACACATGGCTTCTAAACCATGAATCTGTTGCACATCAGCCAAGCCATGGCTCTGTTGCACATCAGCTGATAGAATGCTGGCCTACAGAGGCTAAGCCGTGTCCTACCTTCTTCTTCTCCTTGAAGGTCAGTGCTGTCCTTTAAGTCTTCATCCACCCATGGGCGAGACTCAGCCTTCTGGCTGGGTTTGCTTTCCAGTTTCTTGGTCCCTTTCCTGCTGCCTTTCAGAATGATTCCAATCAATACGCAGATTATTGCTATAAAGACTGGTGTTAGGGCAGAGAATGCCATAGTTGTAGGACTCAAAGTACAGTAAAGCGCACGTCCGTGCAAAGCAAGGGCTTCTCTTTTTTTAAAAAAATAAAATATAGATTTTGCTCGGCAGGGTGTAGAAAGCATAGAAGGGGTGGAGCAAAGCCTTGAGAGCGAAGGGGCAATGTTCAGTTCTTTTTGCTTCCTGTACACAGGCGTCTTTTCAGGGCTGTTTACACAGATCATTTGCTCTTCAACCTCCAGCAGTTTTTGAGTGCCTTCCAACTGTCAGAACTATTTGTGTTGTTCCTGAATTGCATGAATACCTGCAAATCTGACTTAGTATTCAGACTTCAGTAAACCTGCTAGTGCTTTTTGGTGCATCACACTGGCAACGTTAAAAGAGAGAATCAGTTGCTAACATTGATAGCCTGACCTGGATAGCCCAGGCAAGCCCAATCTCGTCAGATCTTGGAAGCTTAAAGCAGGGTCAACCCTGCTTGGGGGAGACCTCCAAGGAATACCAGGGCCAGGAGGCAGAAGCAGGCTATGAAGCCACTTCTCTGAATGTCCTCCCTGCCCCAGTAGGAGCCACCAGAGGTCGCCATGACTTCCAGGCACAGGCACGCACACACACACACACACTCACATGCACACACAAAATGCAAAAATACCAACAAATAGCTAACATTGATACTAATGGTTGTGGTTACTCATGAGAGCCTGTGGCCAGTAGAAAAAAACAGGGAGAAACAAGGATGGTTAACAAAATAGCTTATGCACAAGCCCATTCAACTCATGTATAATTCCGTCACAATTTGTTAGACAATTTGGTGACAGTTGCCAACTCCAAGTTGGGCAGTTCCTGGAGACTTGTGGGTGGATCCTGGGAAGGTCAGTGTTTCAGGAGGGGAAGGAAATCGGCAGGGAAATGTTGCCATAGAGTCTACTTTGTGAAGCTGCCATTTTCTCCAGGGGAACTGATCTCTGCTGTTTGGAGACCAACTGTAGTTCTGGGAGAACTCCCCCTGGAGGTTGGCAATCATAGTTTAGGCCATAACCATAGATAGGATTTGGCCTCAGTCAGGTCTGGAGCATACAGCTGCTCTGCCCAAAGAAGCCACTGCTTTTCTTCTGCTTGTGGGACTTGCTGCCCGCTGGCACCAAGTCAGCTGATTCACCATGAACAGATTCCCCTCAAGTTGAGCACAACTGTCATGCTCCGGGTCGGCCCCAGGTCTAGAAACCCCGGAAGCCGTGTTGTAGGTTTGGGAGGAAACGAGGGCCTCAGATTGAGAAGGGCTGGGGTTACATCACACCCAGGTACCTTCCCCAGACCGACCTCTTTTCGCCCTCTCTGTTGCCTCTGAGGTCAGCCCTCAATTCCTCCCCGGCACTCTTCAGTTTCCTCCTTTATATAGTCCCTCTTCCCCCTCTGTGCCACCCCCTTCTGGTGATTGCTAAACTGATAGGCTACATCACCTGCCCATCACCGTGATCTCCTATCCCCTGTTACTTCCTTTTCCTTAGTCCCGCCTCCCTATATAACTAGTGATGTTTGGGTGAGGGAGTGCCTACTTCCAGTGTGTGCGACGGGGCCAACGCCGGTGTCTCCGGCTCCAGCACTTCTCAGGCGTAAGGCTGGAACCTGCCACCTGTCTCGCTCTCGCAACCGCGCTCTTGCCTCTTCGCGTCTCGGCCCATCCCCAACGTGCCCCTTGCCATTCTGTTTCCCCAACCTCTGTCGTTCCGGATTCTTCCCGCCCTGGGGTGGTCAATGAGGGAGAGGTTTGGGGTCTCGGGAGGTTCCCAGCCCACCATTCGTCACGGGGATTTGCGGGGAGCTCATGCAAGTTCTGCACATGATAAATTAATAGATGAAGAAGCATGATAGTTAATGTGCACCAGCCTTTTCCTATCCTGAAACTGAGAATATATTTGCATCTAGCAGAGTATGCCGTTTAATGAACCTTACTGACTTTGAAATAACAGCTTTTCCATTATAGTCCCTCCCCCTTTAAACAATCAGCTTCAGATAGAAGGACTTTTGCACTTTCTGTTCTCTCACACACTCGTACCAGGGAGATGCTACACTGTTTTTGCCTCTTTGGCATGGGAAACATTCCATCCCGCCTTATGTGACAAAGATGTAAAGGAATAGGAAGCGCAAGCCACCTGCCCGCTTCCTAGTCTATCTGCATTCACATCACGTCCAAAGCTACTTGGAGATAACTTTTATTTTCCCTGAGGTAATGTGGTGCTTAATATTCCAGTATAAAACAGACTGGAGACAGCTCATATTGCTTGCAAGTCTCTTTCCTATTAAATTTATTTCCAAGTCTTTGTTCACAGTAATTCACTTGCACTTCAGCCTCACAAAACTCCCACAATACTTTGATTTATTAAAACTAAACTAAGTGTAATTAAATCCTCATGTACACATTCAGATAACCATCTTCTCTGGGAATTGGTGGTAGGGATGAGGCAAAAAAACTGACGTGAAACACTCATTGTGTTTCTCTAGACTCTCCTCATATGATGCAGACTGTATTTCCTGCAGGGGTTTTCCAAAAGGTGTTATTGTGTCAGTTCTGGCCCCTTACTGTTTTGGTTTATCCTCTGTCTTCTGCAGGTTCGCTGGAGCCATTAGTTTTTCCTTCACATTTTACCTTTGGGGGAGGGGAGATCTTTTGTGACCACTTTTACTCTGATCTTTTTCGAGCAATCTAGCCTGAGGAGCATTTATTCACATGTCCTGCAGAGACCCTTCATGTGGTGACTACACTAACTTCTGTGCATGCATTGTTAGGTTTAATGTTCACCACAGAGATTGATTATTTAATCACTCCTTCATCAGCTAGGTGCACACTATTGCTGTGGTAAGGATAAGATATATCAGCCTCTTTCTGTGATTCAATGATATAGCATCTGCTTTGCACACAGAAGGTCACAGGTTCTTTCCTTGGTATTTCCAGTTTAAAACATGTAGAAGACCTCTTCCTGAGACCTAGAAAGCTGCTTCAATCAGAGCAGACAATACTGACCCGAATAGACCCCTGATCTAGGGCTGCCAAGTCCCCCCAGGGGGTGGGGAAAACCCCGCCCCAGAGGCCCGTTCCCCGCCGCCAGCAGATCGGGCCCCAGGGGGAACCCCACCCCGGCGTGCGCGTCACCAGGAAGTGACGTTATGACGCCGGGCACTCTGGGGGCGGGGCCACGACTATCCAAGGGGGGAACTCTTGGATGGTCGTGGACCCGCCCCCAGTGTGCCCGGTGTCATAACGTCACTTCATGGTGACATGTGTGCGGCGCACATGCATAGGATGCCGGACGGGAGTCCCCCACTCCCAACTATTTTCAACTTGGCAACCCTACCCTGATCTGACAGTATATGGCAGCGTCATATGTTCTTAACTGTACTTTGTTTTTTCTCCCTCTCCCTCTTTAAGCACAACTGAACAACAGGGATTTAATTTAGTTCAGTTGTGACAAGTGAGGGGCACAGCAACATACACTATTCAGATCATTACTTCAAAATCACTGCCATTTTGGGTCTGTTTTATGTGCTCTGAATCAAGTGCTAGTTTGTCTGTTTGGGGCGAGGAGGTTGCTTCAGGAGAGTTCTGTTCTTGCAAAACCTCATTGTGGAGGACTGATCTGTAACTATTAACGTTATAAAGTGCAGAATAAATTCTTATTAATTAAAAATACCATCGCACAATGATTTCTGTGGTGTTTCTCATTAAGAGGCAAATGTACACCTTATATGGTACATAACAAAAGTCTGTGACTTTATTATTTCCCCCAAAGGGAACATTTGAGTTAATAAAACAAGTTCAAAGCTTTTAACCAGTAGACCTAGACACTGCATTTCCCCCCATGCCTCCTCTCTTCAAGCATTTTGTGGCTTTTCTTTTTAAAGTGTTAAGGGAAGGATAAGAGAATGGTTCTAACCTTAGCTATGCTGATCCCACATCAGGATTCTGCATATTTCTGACAGAAGATAGAATATTACAAAGGTATTCCAAAAGCAAGCTGAGGCCACATTCATAGAGATGGTTGTTTCAGTCTAATTTTGTTTCTGTTTGGCTTTTCGATTGATACAGGCCCAGAGCTTCCAGTAACTTCTGACATGCAGTGTCCCCAGTTTTGTGTGCCTTCACGAGCCCATGTAGAAAGTAACCAAGCTGTATGTGTGTTCTGATGCACACCTCGACCAATTTTGACCCCTGTGTGGAGATGGAGGTTCACTGAACAGACACATGGGCTTTCATTTGTACTTCCACTTGGGTCACGTGTGTAGTGATGGATGAGCATGATTTAGCAATTCAGGCTCATATCCCATCAACTTCAGGATTGAATTCAAAGCAGCCCTTAGAGAGAAAAGAGGAAGAAGGAGAAGGAGGAGGAGGAGGAGGAGGAGATTGGATTTATACCCCGCCCTTCACTATCGAAAGGTGTCTCAGAGCGGCTTACAAACTCCTTTCCCTTCCCTTCCCCACAACAGACACCCTGTGAGGTAGGTGAGGCTGAGAGAGCTCTTGACAGAAACTGCTCTTTTTCAAGAACAGCTCTTATCAGACCTATGGCTTGCCCAAGGCCATCCAGCCAGGTGCAAGTGGAGGAGTGGGGAATCAAACCCGGTTCTCCCAGATTAGAGTCCGCGCACTTAACCACTACACCAAACTGAATAGAGAGAGAATACAAGAATACAGACTCCTTTGTAAACAACAGTTCATATATGTGATTATTATTTCCCACCCACCCATCCTGTCCTTCCTAGGATGCCTCGGTCCTCAAATAAAAGAATTACTCTTTTCTAGAAAACAGAGGGATATGCTCAATAGCCTGAAATTGATCTTTCTTCTAGCAAAAAGTAAGTTTTGAACATCTAACTAGAGATTTTCCACATCTAATCTGATGTGGCTTCTGTTTGGGGACTTTTTGCAATCCTTGTGAATTTGCAATCCTATTCATTCACAACTCCTGTCCTGAATAGCATCCAGTGACAGTGTTGCATGGCAAACCACTAGAGGGCA